AAAGTCCACCCCCACAGACAGGGAGTGGGCCTGCACTCTAGGTGAGTGTGGCCTTGTAGACCCCAGAGTCTTGCCTTAGATTCTTCTCTTGGAGATATTGCACGTGACTGCTGTGACTTCCTTGTCGACCACCTGTGGATGTCTTGGAGAACCTGTGACACAGAGACCCATTATTGTTCGCCCACATTATCATAGCCCCTAGAGAAGGGCGTGACAAGGGTTCTAAATCTCCTACACCTTCCCAAACGACATTCCTTAGACCTAATGGAGGCTGTACCTCCCCTTATCTCCTAGGCATTCCCAGTAGGTAGATTCGGGGGATCTTGACTTCCCTGTAGATAGGGCCCAATTTACTGGAAGTTCGAATCCCTACCTGCTCTCCCTCTGAGCGGTTATAACTTTTGTAATTACAAGTTTCATGACTTTTACAATCCTTGCCCAATGCATGATGTCTTAGGCCTTGTAAATTCCCTTTACTCTAGGCAAGCTTGATTGCCACTATGAGATACCTCTGATACCTGGAAGTCTGTTTCTGAAAAGACAAAGCCAATAAAGTTAATTATACCTAAAATGTGCATTTCTCCGAAAACACAGCTTCTATTTTCTCATCATTGTGTCAGGGTTTAAGAACCAGATGAAAAATGGCTTCCCACTCTCGAGCTGTCCTTTCAGGAAGAATTATTCACGAAAGTTTTCTAGAATTTTCCACACATGAATATCATATTTGGTGTTTAAGATCTAAGTAAAATGTCTAGTTGCGCCTGTGACATTCTCTCTTTTGCGCTCTCATTCAGTTGGATTCATTTGTCTGCTATGTGCCAAGGATGTCCTCTCTCCAGAGGGTTTGAAAATTAATAAGATGTGATCCTTGCCTTTAATTATTCTGTAGTTTTTTATGAACTCACAATTTCACAAGGGAGAATCCCTATGGTATTAATTACAATCCATTGTGATCGATTAATAATGTACAAGGTTTTATGTAGTATAAGGACTGGGATTATAGGGCTTTTGCCAAGGAGAAGCTAGTAAAGACTTGAGGATGCAGAGACTTTTGAACTAGGTCACAATTGAGGAATTTGCCAGAAAGAGAGGGAGAAGACCAGTCCCAACCAAACACATGGAAAACGAAACAAGGAATTATCCAGGAAGCAGCGAGGGAGTGAGTCTCCCGTCCTCCCGGGACGTCAGCTACGTGAAGGAGCTGCGAGGATGAGGCCCTGTGGCCAGATGGTGACTGGCTACGCCCCAGACACGGGAGGAACCCCCAGATCCCTCTCAGTGGGAGTGCTATGCACTCGGTGGCTGTTTTTTGCTGGCAAAGTGCATCGCAAAGAATGGAAGAGGAGACCGTCAGTGAAGGGATGAGTTTGAGGTCTACTGGAAGAGGCAGCAAGGAGGCTACAGGTTGGGCCGTGAGCTCAGAAAAGGAACACACAGTTTAGAAGCAGACTCGGGGAGCTAGGCAGAAGTAAGGAGAGGATTTAGGTCTTGGCCGATTGTACAGCCCACCTCTCTGTGGTTGGGCATGTTGGAGACAGTTATGCCCTCTTCCCAATTTTGCCGTTAAGGAATGGTACGGAGGCTCAGAGGTCGGTGGAGTGAGACAGTTTTTGTTTGGTTTTTTTGTTTGTTGGTGGTTGTTTTGGTTTTTTTTTGAGTTGGAGTCCACTCTGTCACCCAGACTGGATGCAGTGGCCGCTCCTGGCCACCACAGCCTCGACCTGCTGGGCTCAGGCGATCCTTCCGCCTCGGCCTTCCGAGTAGTTGGAACTACAGGCGCGCACTACCACGCCCGGCTAATTTTTTGATTTATTGTAGAGATGAGGTCTCGCTGCCCAGGCGGGTCTTGAACCCGCAGGCTCAGACAATCCACTCACCTCAGCCTCCCAAAGGCACGGGATTACAGACTGAGCCACCGAGCCCGGCTGTTTGTTTGTTTGTTAATAATGCTCTTGCAAGTACAGGTGTCTCTCAAATGAGCAGGCTCACCAGAGCAACCACAATTGTTACTTATATGCCCTAAGAAGCAGATCCCTCCTCTGTTTCCCCATTTGTTGAGGATCTCAGCAGTCACATCACTCCTGGATGTCGCCTACGTGGTACACACTGATTGACATACAGAATTATTACCAAGTTGCCTCACTTGCGTGTTCTATTTGCTGATGGGCTTATAGGACCTTTATTTAGATTGAATCCTGCCAGAATTCTTAGCCCGCCAAAGTGAAAGAACAAAGAAGCCAGAAGTATAAGGGAGTGCAGGACGTCTGATTCATGAGTCAGGTTCCAGTTTTGAAGATAAATTATTCTGTTTCATTAGGCATGAGGTCTTTGAGACCGCACTATGGCCAGGTGAGTTGCACTGGGGCCCATTGCTGGCTGGTGGCGGAACCAGGTCCCTGCCTCCAGAGTTCCCCACGGTGCACCTTGCTGCCTGTGTCTCGGCAGAGTCGATTTTCCCTTGACCATGCTGAGACCTCTCGTTTGCTTACAATTTACAGGGCACTCCAATATACGTGATCTGCTTTGGCATTATCCCAGCAAGCCCATGAGATAAGCAGAGCAAGCAATGTTGCGTCCTTTCTGGAGGCAGAAAAAGCAGTTCATTGTGGTTGCTATGTTTATTCCATTTTCTCAGTTTTGGGGTTTGTTTTGTTTTGTTTTCACTCTGTTGCCCAGGTTGGAGTGCAGTGGCACAATCACGGCTCACCACAGCCTCAGCCTTCTGAGAGCAGACGATCCTTCTGCCTCAGCCTCCCGAGTAGCTGGGACTACAGCCACCATGACTGACTAATGTTTTTTATTTATTTTTATTTTTTAGAGATGAGGTCTCACTTTGTTGCCTGGGCTGGTCTTGAACTCCTGGGCTCAGGCATTTCTCCTTCCTCAACCTCCCAGACTGCTGGGATGACAGGCATGAGCCACCATGCCTGGTCTTGATTTTTTTTCAGTTTTATGTTTACTACTTAAATACGTCCCTGAATTTTTTTAATATGTAGGATTTTATATCTGGTAGATCCATGTATTGCTTGAGGTAGTAGATGTACTCCTGAAGTTGTCTCTAAACCTAAAGCAGATTTTACATGTGTAAAGTGGTTTTTGTTTTGGTATTTGATGAATCATTTTGCGAATGAAAAAAATCTATTTTGTTTGATAATTTTTTTTATAATCTGAGTTTCTTTAAAGCAAAACATTTTCTTAAGTGCCTAATCGTATAAAATATTAGGACCATTTTGGAATGAACTCTGTTTAAACAACCAGTTTCATTATGTACTGTAAGGCCTAGGGCATAATGGTAAACTTCTATCAAGCTCATTCTCCCGGACTTCAGTTTGATATAATATGTAGTTATTGTACTTAATTCTCAGTTACTGTGAGTGTGAGTGAGTGACTGGAGGGCATTTACAACAGTTCCTGGTACCTAGTAACTACTGAGACATGATTGGCTACTATTACATTTGTATTACAGGAAATTTGTAACTGTATAAGTAACGTAATTAAAAGTCCTGTTAAAAGAGTCAAAAGCAAATGAATTAACATTTGCTTGTGAATTTTGCATCAAATAATTTATGTAAGTTTAATAGCACTAGTATGATTTACATTTAAATATACATAAAAATGTAATTAAGAAATAAGTATGGGCCAGTTCCTACACAATAAAGTAGCTTCTTCTTTTTAAAAAGTATGTACTTTATATAATCAAAGTTTTATGCTCATACTGAACACCTAATTATGTTCTGCTTAAGAAAGTCTACATTAGCCGGGCTCAGTGGCTCAGCCTGTAATCCCGTGCCTTTGGGAGGCTGAGGTGAGTGGATTGCCTGAGCCCCCGGGTTCGAGACCTGCCTGGGCAGCGAGACCTCATCTCTACGATAAATCAAAAACTCAGCTGGGCATGGTAGCGCATGCCTGTAATTCCGGCTACTTGGAAGGCTGAGGCGGAAGGATCGCCAGAGCCCAGCGGGTTGAGGCTGCGGTGGCTGGGAGTGGCCACTGCACTCCAGTCTGGGCGACAGAGTGAGACTCCAACTAAAAAAAAAAAAAAAAAAGAAAGTCTACATTATTGCTCTAAAGTCATTTCCTGTGGGGAGTCAAGAAAATATTGACACTTATTTGATTCTGTTAAAATGCTTAAAACTAGCCAGGCTCGGTGGCTCTGCCTGTAATCCAGCGCTTTGGAAGGCCGAGGTGCGTGAATTGCCTGAGCCCGCGGCTTTGAGACCCGCCTGAGCAACTTGGTGAGACCTCATCTCTACAATAAATCAAAAAATCAGCCGGGCGTGGTAGCACAGGCCTGTAATTCCAGCTAATGGGAAGGCTGAGGCGGAAGGATCGCCGGAGCCCGGCAGGTCGAGGCTGCGGTGGCCGGGAGAGGCCACTGCACTCCAGTCTGGATGACAGAGTGAGACTCCAACTCAAAAAAAAAAAAAATGCTTAAAACTCTTCTTTTTTGTGCTTTTCCCGTACAGTCTTTGAAGAAAATAAATACTATATTATCATGGGACAAATGTTTTCATTTATTATGTTAAGTGGTTACATAATACAAACTTCTGGTGTTTAAGGAATGGTCAAGGTAATGAAACTGAGGTTCATTTTCATAGACAGTCTGAACAGCAATGTTTCTCTAACTCTATATATCGAAGAAATTGTAGACAAACTTACATTCTTCTTAGTGCTCTTTAACTCTTGTTAGGTAGTGTATTAAAATGATAAAGTTCTTTTTTGAAATTATATTGAATAATTTCAGTATAAAATATAATTTATCCAAGTAAAGGATTAATGACTTCCACTCTTTCCCCTTCCCATTCGGCTATATTTTTCCTCTTAACTCTCTTTTACATGCATTGTATTCATCATAAAGGAATTCTCCAGAATTTACCCCTTAGATCCATTTTTAGATACATAAGAATTAGTACTGATTTTTTCCAATTCAGGGTTCTTTTCTAATTTTTCTTGTTAATGGTTTATGAAGACAGTGTTTATTAATTTACCTTCCTTTTTAGGCAGGCCAAGTTGAATCTGAGAATTGCAGCAGCAAAAGTGGAAGAGTTAACTAACATGGCTGAAGAGCTCCAGGGACAGATGCAGAGGAAGGTATTTTCTATTTCTAGGACAACTGGGTGCCTGCAGCTTAGTTTTTGTGTATTTTGCTGTCAACTTATTTTGGATTAAGTGTTAAAGAGAGTTGTTAGACATGAATTAATCATTTTATTGCCCCTCAAATATAATATATGAAAGCAGAAAGCTAAATTATAATACCATTCTCTTTAGTCTAATTCAGTAATATGTCATAATCACCCCTAAGCATGTCATTACTGAAACACAAATTAAAACAAGATCAAGTTTTGATTAAACGGTTATTTGCAGATGGAGGAGAAGCATTTACTATTACATTTTATGTTATTTACTAAAATATTTCTGGCATAATAGACTCTGGTTCTTTTTATGTGCAATAGAGAAATTTTAGGAGGCTGTCAAGGAAGGGTCAGGCTTTAGATTTAGATGAATCTAATTATGGAAAATTCCAGCTCTGGGACTAACTAGCTGTGTAATTTTCTAAGCCTTATTTTCTGATGTACAAAGGGCTGACTACAGATTCCCCATCTCGGTCGGCTGGTGAAGATGCGGCAAGAACCCAGAGATGGCTGTTTAGAAACATAGGTACATTTTGTGAAGCCCTGGAAAGCACCCCACAGTGGAAAGACGTCAGAGAATAGTGAGTTTTGGGATTTGGGGCCTAATGGTTCTCCCAACCCTCACGACTGCGGCTTCAGGAAACAGCAGCTTGGCGTGAGCTTACGTTACTCAGGGTCAAAATCTAGGGCTAGAAAAGAAGTTAGGAATGAACGGAGAAAATACTGGCAGCAAGAAAAACACACACAAATGAGAGCCACATTCTGAGCAGCATTCTTTCTAAGTCCATGCCTGGCAACTAGACTTTGCCTACGGGAGCTGGGGAGGGAACCCAGGGGTGAGCCAGGCAGAAGCCTGAGAGACATCTACGCCTGAAGGACTGAGATCTATGGAATTGGTGTGGTTTGCTACTTATGATCAGGTACACACCAGAAGTGTGTGCAGCTCACGCAAAGGAAAACCGAAGCCTTCCAGATTGTTTAAAGTATCCGAGGACAGAACCCAAAGCCGGAAGAGCAGCTAGCAATTACAGAGACTCTCTAGAAACAAGGAAGCCGTAAAGAGAGTGAGCCCTGCCTCTGCCCGGCTCTTCACTAGTCCTCAAATTATGCAGGCACTGGGGTCCCTAGGGCCTAGCTATAAAAGCAGCAGTGGAAAGCAGTAAAAAGTAATTACAGATATCAGCTGCTGCATACTATATGGGGAACAGATTTCAGAGTTCAAAAACAAGGGAGATAATTGCCTCCTTGAACTAAAAAGCAAAAAAAGCTCAAAAGAACCAACCAGAATTTAAAGTAACTGCAGTATATTCTCTACGTTCTCCAATTTTCAACCAAAAACTACTAAATGAGAAGGCATGACCTATACTTGTGGGGTGGGAGCACTGGTTGGGAGAAAGCAGTCAACAGAAACCGACTCTCAATGGATCCATCTTTTAGACTGGGCAGACAGAGGCTTCAAATGCACTGTTATAAATATGTTCAAGAAATTAAAGTTTTTTAAAATTAGAGTAAAATAAAGTCTCAATGAAGGAAGAGATAGAGAATTTTAACTGAGAACTAGAAAGTAATTTTAAAAATATAAATTTTAGAGCTTAAAAGTACAGCAATGGAAATACAAGTTTCATTAGATGGAGTAAAAAATGTATTGGAAAAAAAAAAAAGAAATCATCAGTGAACTTGAAGACAGATCAGTAGAAATCTGTGGAATAACATGGAGCAATTCAACATAAGTGTAATTGGAGTTGCAGAAGGTGGGTGGTGAGCAGAAAAATGTTATTTAGCAAAATAATGGCTGAAAACTTTCTAAATGTGGTGGAAAACATTAAGATTCAAGATTTTCAGTGAACCCCAAGTAGAATGAACACAAAATCACTAATAGACACATCATGGTGACACTGACAACCAGTTATAAAGAGAATACTTAAAAGTAGCAACAGAACAATGCCCTGAAAAGTAAAATAATGGAAAGATTAATGACTGAGTTCTCATCATGAAACTATGGGGAAAAAAATCATTGGAATAATGCATTCAAAGTGCTGAAGGAAAAAAATGCTCACTAAGAATTCTATATCCAGTGAAACCATACTTGAAAAATGAAGGCAAAATGGACATTTTCAGATAAACAAAAAAATGAGAGACTTTGTCCCCAACAGACCTGCATTTCAAAAAATTCTGAAGGAAGTTCTTTAGGCTAAAAGGAAATGACACCAGATGGCAACTCAAAAATAGGAAAGAATTCAAAGCAACAGAAATGGTAAACATATGTACATGTTTTTCTTTTCTCATGATATCTTAAAAGCCATGACTGTGCACGGTGGAACTTACAGCACTGCATTCGATGGATCTGAAAAGCAGGCAGGTGTAATAAATGGCGTGGCAACAAGGGTTGGGTTTGTGCATGGGAATACACTGCTGCGAGGTTTTCTCTGAATTAATCAAGAATTAACTGTAAATAAATTGAATAAGTTAAAGATGCACATTGTAATCTCTACAGCAGCCACTGAAAAATAAAGAGGTATAGCTTTAAGCAATGGAGGAATTAAAACAGTATCTTTAGCCTGGGTGTGGTGGAACACACCTGTAGCCCCGGCTACACGGGAAACTGAGGCAAGAGGATTGCTTGAGCCTAGGAGTTTGAGTCCAGCCTGGGTAGTATAGCAAGACCCTGTCTCTGAAAAAATAAAATAAAACAGCATCGTAAAAAACATTTGTTAACACAGAAGGAAACTGGAAAAGGTGAACCAGAAATTTTTAAAGATAATACAAATGAAGTTTGTTTTTATCCCCTCCTATGCAAAGGAGACAAAGTATGTTACTACATCACAAAGCACCACTAAGGCAAAGGAAAAAGACCCTGTGTTGCCGTGACAGGCAGTGAAGAGTGGTACGCCATGCCTGAGAGCGCTTCCAAAGGCAGACTGTCCACACAGAAACCCCTCCCTTGCTTTGCTCGACCAGCACTGTAGAAACCTTTTGAAATCTTCGCAAAAACCTGCGTGAAGTAACTGTTTGGATTACGTTTGTCTGACACAGGATTGATGGTGAAGTTCGCCTCCCCCCTGTGTTATGCACACAATTGGTTTCTTTAAACTCATGTGTTGGAATTCTAACGCTGTGGTAACTTGATAGCATGAACTCTTTTCTTTTGCAACCGAATGGTAAATACATGGTGGTATGTTCAGTTTTCACATTCTTGAGGTAAGCTTCTGGTCTCTTTAATTTCTAGGAGGAGGACATGGTGTCTGCCCAAGGAAGAGAGGAAGCATCAGATAGGCGCTTACAGGAGTTACAATCTAGTATAAAACAATTAGAAATCAGGTAAAGTGTTAAATGCATCTAGCTGTGTCTGTATGCTTCAAAATATTCCACAGTAGAGTTTCAATGTATGAGAATTACTAGAATGTATGTTTTCTTTTCTTTGTGTTTTTTGAGTTGGAGTCTCACTCTGTCGCCCAGACTGGAGTGCAGTGGCCGCTAGTAAGATTGTACACCCTTTACTAGGTACTTCAATTCATGTCATCACTTTGGAAGAGAACGGTCGCACCAAACTTGGTCCAGCCTTTTCTGGAAAGAATCAAGCCCTGGGCGATCTCGGCATGTCGGGACTGCAGAGTGTGGGCCCCCTCCATCTCCCTCCTCTTGGTGTCGCCCTGCAGATCTGGGAGTAACCTAGCTGGTCTTCAGCATCCTCAAATCTTTGTTTCTTTTGAAAAAGGGTTAGAATGTTAAGATCATGGTATCAGAGAAAACTTGATTTTGCCTCAAGTCCAGCCCTACAAGTCAACCCCGAGTAGAAGGCAGGGCAAGGGGAAGAGTGGGATCCTTTGACGCTTCTTTAGGACTCACGAGCCACAAATCCTGCGAGAAGGGTGAGCCCCAAGAGCTGAGCGCTGGCTCTCTGCAACCTGGGTGTAATCTGTCAGCACAGTCCTGCAAACTGAGGCCTGATCCTCACTTCTGTGGGCCTCCAGCGGCAAGCTGTGAGTCAGCCTCTCCCCATGCTGCTCTTTCCTTGGGTTCCTGGAACTTCCAGTCTTCTGTAGCCTCCAGCTCCCATTTGCAATCCCTGATCTCTGTCCTCGTAGCCATCATCCGTTGGTACCATGACTCTCAACAGCAGTATTGGCCTCTTAAGTGAGCCCGTTTTGAGCTGTTTGAAACTGTGCCAATACTTTTGGGATGTTTAGGCCAGGCATTGTGACTCATGCCTATAATTCCACCACTTTGGGAGGCCAAGGTAGGAGGATCGCTTGAGCCCAGGAGTGGGGGACCAGCCTGGGCAACTTAGTGAGACGTCATCTCTACAAAAAAATTAAAAAACTAGCCAGGTGTGGTGGCATGCACCTGTAGTCCCAGAAATTTAGGAGGCTGCGGTGGAGGAGTGCCTGAACCCAGGAGATCAAGGCTGCCGTGAGCTGTGGTCATGCCACTGCACTCCACCCTGGGCGACAGAGTGAGACTCAGATTTAATACATAAATAATCTGTTTAACAAAATCTTTTCATCTGACAGTGTCTATAATAAAGTTGACAATAAATTTGTCCCCAACCCGCCTTTTGTGTGCTAAGAGTTTTACTGTCTGAGGTTTAGACCAACTAAAACGGACAGAGGAAAACAGGTATGACCCCTGGAGGAGTCAGTCTACTTAGATTTGAGAAGAAGAGAAGTGAAGTTTAATAGTTTTTATTTGCTTGTTTCGGTAATTTTGTCCTGGACAGTATGAAGGAGGTATGTGACGGCATGCGGGAAGGGTGTACTCGTACCCTGCTGACAGGAGGATTTAAAAGGGTCTCAGAGAGGTGGACCAGCTCCCAGCATGATTTTCCTTGCATGGTCAGAGTGGTCGTTCAGTCTCCCTCCTGAGAAGGACTTCCATGTTCACAGAGGAAAGTGTGTTCTTTATTCAGCATGAATGGAACACCCACTGTGTGCCAGTCAGTGTCTTCGCTTCTGAGGCCCTAGGGGTGACCAGTATCTGGTAACATCTGCTTCTCTCTGTAGATGACAAAAGTCTTAAAACTGTGTTATACTTACTTAGTTTGAAAAGATGCAAAGGGTGTTCTGAAGTATAAACATAGTTTAAATGTTCACTAAGTTGTTTGTGCTACATTATCAGTTGGGAAAGTTGTGGATACTCCCATTAAAAATAGGATTTTTAAAAGATAAGTGGAAATGTAGAATGGAGTTTGATTGATAGCATCACTTGCTCATGTAATCACCCCAACCTTCTGAGCCCCATCATTCATAAACTTAAATTCTTAGGGAAAGGGAATTACTCAACCGTGTGGTCGGCTCTGGGCTGGCTGCCACTATTGCCTGAATGGGTGTTTGAGACTTCACCCGTATTTACTAAAGAAAGCTTCCAGATTTGCACATCATTTAGGACTCAGTCAGAATCCAGATCCCTTTTTTTCTTCTTTCTTCAGCGAAGACTCATTTCCCAGACCTGAGTCATTTTAAAAGCGAGGCTATCAGAGGTTGCATGTGTTTTGAGCACTTGGGAGGAGGCACATGAAAGAGATTGAAAAACAATTTAAATTATTTCCAGGTTTAGGTGGTTGGTTTAAGAAGTCTTTAGAACTGTGGAAGACCAAGTGTTCCAGACAGGAGCATGAGGAGGTGATTTTACTCGGGCAGTTGCAGTTGGGAGAACGTTCATGAATGAGGAGTGTTCCCAAGAATAGGAGGGGTCTGAGGTTTCTCAGAGGCAGATGAGGCGACAGTTTCTCCGGGAGCTGGGGAAGGATGGAGCAGACTTGTCCTGGAATGTGCGGGCAGGCTTGTTTTATGCCCTTACCCCTTTGCTGGCATACAAAAGCACAAGGGGACTTGGAAGAACAGGTGGGACAATTTCTTGGCCATCCCTGTTTTCCTGAGAACACAGAGCTCAGGGAAAGACCAGTATTATCTGAGCCGGTTGCAGCAGGTGTAATAGACCACCAACATCTTCTCAAGGTTGGATGGAGGTGGATGTTTGGGTGGACCAGCAGCTCAGTACCACACTCCAGATTTAGGACTCAGCCGGGGGAGAGCAAGACATTATTCACAGCGAACATGCAGCCCATGTGGCTGGCTAAGCATTCTGAGTAAACCGCATAACATAATGTCTTGGTGACAAATGATAACAGAGGTATATTTTTGTAAGTTGAGCATTTAAATGTATTGGGAATCCTCACGGGTACAAACCAGAGAACCAAAAGGGGAACTGAAACCAGAATGCTAAACAAAGAAGCCAAGACTGGGCCTAGATACCCTCCTCCTGCCTGGCAGGCCTGACCCCTGGGAGGAGCCGTGCCCTCACTCAAAGACTGAAAGAGGAAAAATTCTTCCTTTTGACAAGTACAGCCAACAGGAAGACTTTCCATTACGTTGCCAGATGGAAAGACAAGCCGTGATCACCGTTGCCGCCTTCTCTGGAAATGTGTAACTACGGCCCTGCCCTCCTATGAAGCTGAGTTTCAGATTTATGCAGCTTGTCCATTTGAAACCTCAACCCAAAAAACGCAAGTGGTAGCTGGTTAGTGCCAACAAGCCCTGCTGTGTGTGAGAAGCAAGAGAACATCTCAGGGGAAAGGGTGTTCAGCACAAGCCCTCAGGGGTTCCCACAGGTTACATTTAGGCGGGATGAGCTTAGTCAAAACATACCAAACGCTTGAGAAAACATGCCCCTCGACTGGCAGGAGGAGGGTTTGGGCGTGGGCAGAGGAAGAGGGAGAGGACAGAGGCATCTTCCGCCAGTTAGAAATGCAAGATGACAGCAGAGGAAACGATGGAATACATCATAGCAACTACCGTCAGATTAGGGTTAGTATAGCATATAATTGACAGACATCAATGAAACATGCGAATCCGTAAGTAAATTATGATATTTTCATATTCTAGATCTAATAACAGGAGCGTTTCAATTCATTAGTTACCGACGGTACTCATTAGCTGGTTGTCAGTCTTGAACTTAAATTGGACTCCTCTGTAATACATGAGGATTAAAGATTTAGGGGTGAAAATTGAAGTCATAGCAATCTTTTGAGGAAACCTAGGAGATTACATTAGTAATCTGTGGTGAGGGAGACCATTTTTATAAAAACTGAAATCCCAAAAGTTAGAAAAAGTCAAATTTAGCTGTATTAAATTTTAGTTGGTGAAGTTTCCCTAAATAGAGTCAATAGACACCAATGACAAAGAAGTAGACTTGCTAAAAATATTTGCAGCATAAAGGACAGACCTTGAGGCACTGTCTAGTCGTATCTAAAATTCTTATAAGGGGGCGAGAAAGTAAGCAGCTCACCAGAAAAAAGGTGCAGAGACAACAAACAAACCCGCCTGGCTCACAGATGTGAGGAAACGCCTGGCCTCTCCAGGAGCCCGGGAGACTCACATGCCCTGTGCCATGAGCTGGCCTTGCCAGGGTAGGAAAGGAACAGGCTTTGAGGTAGACTGCTGGCTGGGCCTGCTGCAGAGGGTTCTATTGAGTGAGAAGAGCAAGTACAGAAAAGGATGTCAACTACGACTTTTATTTTTAGAACCCACAAAGTTTAAATGCTGCGGATAGATGCATATATACTCTGTGTATTTACGTGTATGTGTATGTACGTGATTATATGAATGTGGATAAATATCAGAACATTAACTTGGCTTGCCTAGGTAGAAAGCAGGAAAGGACAGCCAAGTGAAAAGGAAAAAAGAAAGACCACGTAAATGTCACCAACAACCCATTCCTTAAAGATTTGCTTTATCACGTCACTATGTAACTGCAATGCAGCCTGATGCTGTAGCAAGTGTAGCGTGAGTAGAGTCAGAAGATCCAGGCTCAGTCTCAGCCACCCTACTCATTAGCGATCCAACCTTAATCGAATGGGTATGTTGGTTGCTCTTTAAGATGGAGATACTACAACCTACTTCATAGAACCATATTGAGAACCAAATGAGAAGATCCACACGGAAGTGACTGACGTACCTGCCTTGTAATAGATGTTCAGTAAATCTGCCGCCCTCCTTTCCTTTAAAAAATTTAACTTTCACAATGTGATTTTTAATTTCTAGACTGCGTGTGACAATCCAAGAAGCCAGCCAATTAAGAGAAGAAAAAATAAACCTGGAGAAACAGACTAGAGAGCTGCAAGCAAAGAGCAGTGAGTTAGAAACTGAGAAATACGAGGCTATCCTAAGAGCCAGGAAGAGCATGCAGCTCCTGGAGGAAGCTAACCTCCAAAAAAACCAGGTAAGAAAACTTGTTTACAGATAATGAAATGCTGAGCACTCCCCCACTTGACCTAATGGTAGGGAATCAGTAACTGCAGAATAAATGCGTGAAAATGCTATTGCTGCTCTCTCCATTGGTAGACACACTGTATTCTTAGATGGCAAAACTAAACATCATACAATATAATGCCAGTGGTCTTCTAAAACCAGTAAATAAATATCTAGCCAGCGTGGTGGCTCACGCCTTTAATCCCAGCACTTTGGGAGCCCAAGGCAAGAAGACTGCCTGAGCCCAGGAGTTTGAGACCAGCCTGGGCAACCTAGTGAGACCTCGTCTCTACAGAAAATAAAAAAATAAACCGAACATGGTGGCTTGCACCTGCAGTCCTAGCTACTCAGGAGGCTGAGGCAGAAGGAATGCCTAAGCCCTGGAGGTCGAGGCTGTGGCGAGTTGTGATTGTGCCTCGGCACTCCAGCCTGGACAAGAGAGGGAGACCCCAGCTCTAACCAAATACATAAGTGAGTGAATGAAGGAATACACAAATACATGGAACTGACCTGTAAATATCAGCCTTTCCTTATGTCCCCAACCCCATGTGACTCGCCCTCATGCCCTGGCGTGCCATAAAGAGTCTGTCAAGGACCTTGCTGCAGTGTTCCCTGCATTTGACGCGGTTGAGTCGGAGGAGCCTGACTCATCACTGTTTCCCCTTCATCGCCTACGAAAGCACTCCAGTCACGCAGAAGCCTCATGGACCTTAAGGACTTCTTAATTGGAGTCTCCTGTCACTGTTTTTTTAAAGCCCTCTGGCAATTGTGATTCCTGTGCTGTTAAGTCCAGTGTTTTTGTCTTATAGCACTTCCACGTAAAGGATACATAGTTTCTTGAAGGCACAAAGTAGACAGATTGTTTTTAATGTCGCAGCCATCTCTTATGTAGCACTCATTAAATCATTCCCTTATTGATATCAATGGACTCTCTAGCATATGCAGAATACTCTGCTAAGAAATAGAGGGTACAGGAGGAGGAGGCAGTGGTGGCGGAGTGGGCCGTGGCCTGAGGCACTTGCTGCCTTCTCCCCTGAAGAGACGCTGGGGAGGGCGTGCGATGAGCAGCCCCAGTGTCGTGAGGGCCGTCCCCTTCTCCCAGAGCCCGGGAGGAACGCGGGGCACGGAGGATGCCGGCCCAGCCTGGATCAGGCCTGTAGCTCCCTGGAAGAAACTGCCTGCCGCCCTTTCCGAATCCAGGAAATGTAGATGCTCCTGAAGACAGGGAAGCCCTTTTGGGTGATCCAGACTCCAGTACCAGCACATTAGGAAACACGCTAGAATTACCCGGAACGTTGCCATCATCTGCCATTTAGACCGGGGTCTCTGTAAGTGCCCAGACTGGTCTCAAATGCCTGGCCTCGAGCGATCCGCCCACCTCCGCTTCCAGAAGTATTGGAACTATAGGACTGAGCCACCACGCCAAGATGATCTACCTGGTTTTAAATGGCTATGTACAAACAATTTTAAAATATTACTTCTATTTTTAGATAATTTGTTAGAGAACCAATAAAATCATACATACTGATGATTTGCCTTTAATCAATTTTGAAAGAAGGAAAAATATAGAATACAAAGGAAAGCTATGTTTTGTTTCCTTTATTGCATGGTAGAGGATTTTCTAAGAGAGCTACTATGAGCAAAACATGCTCTAAGTTGAATATTAAGACTCGAATAAGAAACAAAATAGAATTGGATCCAAACTGGGGGAACACTAAGGTGCTTGTCATGTCTCTCAATGAATCTTCTTGTCTATGGCCTGAATACCGTCTGTTGAAATAGTTAAAAGGCTCACAAGAGGCGTAATATGTTTGTGAATTGTTCTAAACACCTAAGTTAGCTAGAAAAAGTAAGCCCAGGACAGAGGTGTTTCTCCATACTCTCTGACGCCCAGTTGTATGGACACTCTTAATACCAGGTCGTTAAAAAAGAACATCTTGTGTGGGGCACAGTGGATAGAGGAGGTATAGGGACACTCACTGCCTGTCCCATTCTTACTGCATCCCAGGTCAGTGGACGCTCCCCAAGGCCATCTACGCCGCAGTGCTGAGCTCCCCTTAATCATTGCTTGGTTGCTGGAGGCACCCATCTTCTGTTGCTTGTTCTATCAACTCAGCAAGCAAACAAGGCAGGAAGCTCAGCTGGCATAGCTCCCCTCGCCGCCCCTTCTCCCCCCGGGGCTGCTACCTGGGAACAGCCGTGACTTCTCACTACCTTACTTTATTTAAGCTGGGGAAATTTCTTTTTTACATTATTTTTAAAAACAGACTTGAGAATGTGTAAGCTACCTTTGGAAGATGGTGGGGTCAGAACACAGGCCACTTATTATGTATTGATTAAAAAGTGATTCAGTCTGACCTGATTGGAGGAGCTTCAAGATTAGAAAAACGTTTGGGCTAGGGATGTCAACTTGGGGATTTTCAGCACAGAAATAATTCTTAAAACCATGAGATTTGACTGGGCCACTAAGGGTAGGGCGGATAGAGAAGAGGACCAGACACCGAGCCTGGGTAGGCTGGTGTTAACATGTCCAGGAGAGGAAGAACTGGCGGTGCAGACTGAAAAGGAGAGAGTACCGAGGCAGGAGGGACACCCCACCATGCTGTGCAGAAAGCCAAGTGCAGAGAGTGAGACCAGGAGGAGGAAGCAGGGACCACTAGCGCTGCTGACAAACAGGTGCTGGAAATGAACTTAAGGCGTGGTGTCGAAAGGCTGCCTGGAGGGAGTGGAAAGAGAGCCCGGGAGCCGTGGAGAGGAACAGGTCTTGGAGTTTTGCTCCCAAAAGAAGCAAAGAAATGGAATGTGACTGACAACAGAATTAGGAATGTGGCCATACTTTTAGTGGGAGATGGAAATTATTGGAGAGAGAGAAAAGGATCAGAGAAGCCAAGTAGGCGGCGTCTGCAGTGACCAAGGTGTGAGGTAATGAGGAACATAATTTGAATGCCAAATAGTGGGGAAAAGGGAAGTCCCAGACATTTCTTTAAGGCTATGACACCTAGATTTGATGGCTTGTACTGGAATTTGAAGGAGATGGAAAATTCAAAAATGATTCCAAGCCTTCTTGCTGTAGCAGTTAGGAGAGTGATGGAAACACTGGACGAATGGCATGCCAAAGAGAAGGAACATGCTTTTAGTTGGGACGGGGATGGGCGAGGGGGTTAAGGAGCCGAACTGTCACCCGTGACTTAGGCAAGACAGTCAAGTGACGATGTCCCACAGTGTAGAGAAGTCAAGAAAAGGGATGCCAGGGTGTAGGTTTCTATGCATTGTTATCTTCACTAATACTGATGTGATCTCCAACATGGAATGATTGTTTTCTGAAGGCTCTGCTGGAAGAGAAGCAAAAAGAAAAAGACATCGAGAAAATGAAAGAAACATTTTATCAGCTTACACAAGAGAATAACGTAAGAACCAAGAAAAAGGTAAGGGCTTTTAAATTATATTTAAATTTAGAATATCAGTCACAGCCTAAGACTAAATTCTGCCTAGGCACTTTTAAATTGAAGTTAAAGTACTTGCCTATATATTTATAAAGGCTATATGTGAAATTGCTGACATAAATGGTTAGAATCTGACTAAAGGAATTAGCTGAAGACCCTCTGCAGATGCTTTGGAGTCCTCCACTGGATTGAACAAAGTGTCCATTTTCTTCTTGTCTGTGTTTTTTGTGGGTAATATTATTTCTGTCCAAGTGGACTGCAGTTTTGGGCTGGTTTTTAAAAGCTTCATCAATTTAAAATAAAAATAGTTAACATGGTTGCTTCCTCCCAAGCAACTAAATGGTAGAGTTTTCACTTCTATAGAGCCACTGTATATTATTTCTTCCTGCAGAAGTATTTCTTAGAAATCTGTTACTTTGCCACTGACAAAAATTAGGTCACTTCCCAAGGTAACATTTTTCATTTTAGGCAAAACTGAGGTAAGGCCTGGGCGTTTGCATTTCCGTTCCTCCTGTCCTTCTGCAGGAACCTTCCTATCCAGGAAGCAGAGAGTACTGTAATTCTGGGTGCTAGCTTAAGCTATTCTTGATGATATTTTAAAAATGAATATTCATAAGTTTTATGTATTTTAATAATAGCAATGTTTTACCAGAGTATTCCTGGTGTGAGCATCCTCCAAGTTATTTTCTGGTCCTAAAATAAACGCCCATTGATTTTAAGGTTGATGGAGGTTGTCTTTTGCAGGAAGCTTTAAATAAACTCAGGATAATTTTTCAAAAGTTTTGTGATTTCTGTATTTATTCCAAACATCTCTGTAAGCAGAATTTTCAGATGTCTCCTGAATCTCATTATCTGCCTATTCAGATAAGTTTTCATATCTGTCATCCAAAGCCCAGCATGTGTGGACCTGAGCTCACACTCTTGCTCCCAACGCATTTCTTCCTGGTGTTTTCCTGTTGACGTCCTCGTACCTCGCCTCTCCCTGCTGTCACAACCGTACTAGAGACGTGGTCACTGAGCACTTCCTGTGTGTCAGGCAGTTTGCTAGGTCTCTGCTCCCACTGTGTTCCATACTGTTGCCAAGTTGATTTTTAAGTAAATTTTTTATTATTATTAAAAGTAGTACATGCTCATTGTAAAAAAAAGGAAAATATGTAAAAGTATATAAAAAAATTAAAAACGCAAATCTAGTTCTTAGAGCTATCGACTATTTTTAGCATTGTTCTTTGACTTTTCATTTAATCCCAAATTATCCGTGAAGTGTTCTTCAGATGTGTAGAATTAACCTGTTGAATTGAGAATAGCTTTACTATTTTTACCGACTAAAGTAAAAACAGTGAAGAAATTGTCACATATTTCTGTTCTGGCTGTAAAGTTGAAAAAAAGAATGACAGAGGTGTATTTCTTGAAAAGATAAAAGTTGCTTATTTCTCAGATATCTCTCAAATAAAATTTCTGGGGGGGAAACATTGTTTGCTTTTCATTTTAAATCATGGCTGGTACCATCATTGTCACTTCTGTTCCTATTTCTTATTCATTTGCCTTACTCTTTGGTTTATAAATATTCATACTATTCATAAAGTTATAGAAGAAGACATTTATATAAAGTGAGCTTAGAGTACAAGAAGGAAATTAGTCCTTATATAGACTGTGGAACCCTGGCCATGGCAAACTGCCTCACAGACTTGTGGACCTGCTCATAGAGCAAAGGTTTGCATGGTGTTCCATCAGATGTGAACTCTAGAAGGTTCCATATACCCTTTGGAGCATAGAGGTTTCCTGATGCTGTGCCATCAGTGTCAGTAGTCCTACAGTTTTTTTAAAAAGCATGAGTAGTTTAATTCACCTGAGTTTGCCAGTGTTACTGCAAACATATTCAAAATATCAATTTTGTCATCAATCCCCAAGTTAGCTGCACCGTTTCTAGGGATGAAAAAGAACGCGTTTTAGAAATTATGTGAGAGACAGGCAGACATGACTAGGCTTATAAGATCCAAAATGTTTGTATTCTGGGAACATGTATGACTTAGTTTCTCTGTACATCAGTCTTTCTCACCTGTATTGGGGATGCTAACTACCCCTTCAGATTATTGTGAGAATCAGTGAGGTACACTCTGAGCAGTACTCACACACATTAATCTTCAACAAATGCTAGCCGTTATTATTACTGACAGAGTAGATTGATTTTTATTACTCGTAGGAAAAGCCCATCTCAAATTCTAACCTAAAACAGAGCTAAAATTGACCCACATATAATATTCGGCAGGCCTTCAGAAAGAAAATTCATGTTAATTAACTCACATAAGGCAGATGACAGCATGTAAATGTTCTAAAGAAGGTTCACATCATGTTAAAAAGAGCCCATTCTATATAAGATACTAGGAAATTCCAGGAGACATTTGGCTCATAAAAGTTTACTGATGATATGCCGTTGGCATCTGTGTTCTTGCCAGTCATTTTAGAAAGTAGGAATGGTTATTGGAAAAAATCGTTGACACAGAAGTCATCCTAATGAGACACGACTAACTCTTCAAATGCTCTGTGCCCACGAATTGCCATTTCTGAAGATGTTTCAACATTAATTCAAACTAGGGTTCCCTTGAAAAGTACTTTACTCAGCACTGGGATGTGACGTGTGTTCTCAAAGTATTCTTCTGGTGTGACTCCGAAATGCCTTCAAAGTTAGTCATTGCATGTTCCGTGGGGGATTCTGGTTTCCTCCTGACTTGCCCATGGCAGCCATTCTCAAAACACTGGTCCAGGAGCCCACAAGGCCACACCTGCTTCCACAATTATAGGGAAATGCTGCTTGCTGTTCTTACTCCATCCTCTCACAAGTGTGCAGTGTTGCTTTCTAGAGGCTGCACGGTGTCTGACCAAAGTAAACACACAGCAGGTTCAGTGCAGAAGCAGCTGTGTGAACCTAGCTGTTTTCTGTTCAGCCAGACACAGAGGAGATTTGCAAAAGTCCAGCAGCGCCACTCCTCTCTAAGACGTTTGGTTTTGGAGAATGTGCTGGTTCTCATAAAAATGCATGATTCATGTTAACAGGGAATGATTTCGCTTGTTACTTTTAACGGGATTAGTGAGTAAATATTTTTAGATGTTCTGTTTTCATTTCTAATACAGTAAATGGTAAATGTTAATAGAAAGACTCCACGCTAAGCAAAGGCTCTCTGTTTTTATAGTGTAAGAGAACCCTGAGACCAAAGCATTTGCCGGTCACTGTCCTTCTGATATGTCGTCCTGCTCTCGCTTCTTCCACTCATGAAACCTTCTTGGCTATTCAGTGCATTGTGTGGTCATCTGACTTTTATGTCCTAAAAGTCACGATTTTGTTTTTATCAAAATCATTAACCTAAATGCCTTAGATGTTTAGCATTTTTATTCCAGGCCTAAGTAATGTGTGAATGTCTCGATTTACAGGTTGCAAGCGTAACAAAACAGTATGCTGTACAGATTTCTCAGTTAGCGGAAGAACTTTCAGCCCTTCAGATGGTATGTCAGAAGACTGGACCCACATTTTCTTCCAAATGCTGCTTATTTTAAAGGCCAAGATATCTGTTACTGGGCATTCGTTCATTCAAAAGATACTTATTAAACCAAGACCTAGGCAAGGTGCCTAGAGAAAGGTGACAATCCAGATGGACACGTCTGCTGCAGTTTTGTGACGTGTGGGCAGGCAGGAAAGATGGACGGCCCTGGCCGCTCTGCGCCATCACCGCCTGCCTTGACGTAGCACACTGCTGAGCACACTGCCACGTCCATGCAGGCGGGAGACCAGGGAGAGAGAGAGTGTGTGACAGTGGGAAGGAGGCCCGCTGGGAGGCTTCCTGGGGAAGTGGCCTGCAGGATGAGTGGCAGGAAGGAAGAGGAGCAGCTCCTGTGGACCAGAGGTGGGCCTGGAAGGGTAAACGTCCCTCGAAGATTTGATGTTGTCATGAACGTATTTATGTTTTATTTTCTCGAGTCAGGGTCTCACTCTGTCACCGAGGCCTGAGTGCAGTGACATGATCACAGCTCACCACAGCCTCAAGGCCCTGGACTCTGGCTGTCCTTCCGCCTCTGCCTTCCTAGTAGCTGGAGCTACAGGCGCACCACCAAGCCCAGCCAATTTTTTTTACTCTTTTGTGGAGACAGGGTCTCACCAAGTTGCCCAGGCTGGTCTTGAACCCCCAGGCTCAGGCAGTCTTCTCGTCTCCACCTCCCAAAGTACTGGGATTAAGGCACGAGCCACCACCTCCAGCCCTGGTGTCATGAAATGTAATAACCTTGCTTGCAAGAAAATTAAAAATACAAGAATTTCTAGGAGTTGAGAAGACATTTTCAGCTTCCCAAACTCTCTTCTGAATTCCTTATCACTTTTAATTGCTATTGCAAAATTTATCAGTGAATTATATCTAATAATAAATATTATGCATTAGTGTGTGTTGCATGACACACACTCTTCCCATGAAAATCTTCTCTCTCCAGTTAGGCTGTGAGCATCTTAAAGTTCCCAAGTCTTAGTCTTATTTCCCCTATCGCCTAGTACAGTGTCCTGCACGTTTCTAAGTGAATTATCTGTCAACTGAATGACCCTGGAAGAGGGATCACATCTTCTCCACATCTGCAAACTCTGTAGTGAGGGCCCTTGATCACTGCATATGCGTCCTGAATGGAACAGAACGAGGAACAGTGTTCGCTTTTGTTTTCAGTGTTGCTTCTTTCAATGATGTGGGGACATTGAGTAAAATGACTAGGATGCGGTGTGGCTAGTTAGCCGTGTCTAACTCTTTGCCGTCATCTGACTTTGCTTCCTCTTCTGTCACCTTGGTGCTCTGCTTGTTCTCTTCCAAGGGCTGACGATCTGTCAAAGGGTCATATCTTTTGAAGGAAGAGGAGAGCAGGGTGTGACCCCAGTCCACAGTCCTATAATGGATAGTGAACTCTGCAAGAACCGGAGCACTTGTTCTTTCTTTTTCTTAAAGGAACAAGGACTGGCTAAGACCTGCAGGGATTTTTCAAATAATTGTTAGCAGTGTAACAACCAGAGCCATATTAAACTCACTTTAGGGTAAAGCAAATGACAAGTTCAGTTTGTTACAAAAAGTGCTTCTTATGCTTTATAGTGAAAAATCTACTTCATGGCTAAGTGACTTTTCTAAACCTATGAAATATCAGATCTCATATTCTATGGGAAAAGCTGTAACATCTAATGGAAAAGTTTGAAATATTAAGTATTTAGAGATATGTTAGGAGGAAAACATATTCAGCTATGTTAAAGCAGATTTTTCATTAAAAGCTAGGCTACAGTTTGAAGGAAGCATAAAATAACCTGATATATGCTGTTGCTCTCTATTATTAAGTAACAGTTTTATTTTCTATACTAATGCTATACAATCTACATGACTATGTATACCATCAAGTTCAGGAAGGAAGTTAGGCATACTTTAGCTAAACCAAAATAAAGTTATGCTTGCAGGAAGGAGGAAAGCTTGTATGTGAGGTTAGCATGCAGATTGTTTAATAGGTTAAGAAAGTTCAGAGCCAGTGTATTTCAGGCCACCAACAATTCCTAACTGCACTGCTGTTTTCTTGTAAAGTATAGTTTCTCTTAAGTATACGCAACATTTTTATTCAACCACGTAGGAGATTGCTATTAATCTACAGCAAATAAGGAAGAAGATTAATTATAAAATGCCAAAATGTATAAAGTAAAATGCAGTGCTTATTAGGATCTTTTCTTTGATTCATGATTTTTCTGGAAGTCTGTTTTTGAACTTCTACATACATGGGGATTTGATTTTCTTCTTTATAGTTGGTTTCTAATTGATTTATGCAGGGGACACAGATCATGGTCTGTATGATGTCGGTTCTTAATATTTGTTGAGACTTTATATGGTGCGATCTTGGAAATAGTCCATGAGTACCTGGGAAAAAAAAGCTTTTATATTTTGTCATATTTTCCTCCCAAGATAGACATGTCAGTGGTGGATAGCAAGCATCCGAAAAAACGCGTTTGTTAATGCGTTAAAAATCACATGGGAAGAGTGACGGGTGTAGGCAAACCCCAAATTTCACGCTCTGAAACTGCCTTTTCTTGGGTTAGCAACTTACTTTATGACCGTAGGGAACGTCAAAGCTGTATTGCTTAAATACCCAGGGTCCTGTCTTAATAAAGGAGATTACATTTAAATTTGTCATCTGATTTGTAATTTAGGGTTAAAGAGCTTCATCATAACCAAAGATTAATTTGGGGTAACAGTTTGGAAGTTCACTTTAAAACTTGAAAACATAATGAAATACACTTCTGTAAAATAAACTTATGAGAACAGTAGTTGAATATCATTAGTAGAGGACTGTTAGCAAAGCAGCTTCATCTAAAACGTGACTCGCAATTAATAAAAAATAATATCCATTCTCCACAGTGAACATAGAAACAAAACACATAATTGTGAAGAACCAATAATTACATATTTTTTGTTTTGGTTTCATTAGCAAGATGTTAAATTTTATTATCTAGTTGATATACTTGCTGAATTTACTGATTAAAACCTTTTGAGGCCCCCGGAGGTGGCCCGTCCCCTGGTGCCTGCGCCGCGTGTGCCTTCTCTGACCCGGTCTCGTCACTGTCGCCGCCTTCGCTACACCATGGCCTTCGTCACCAGGCAGTTCGTCCGCCCCATGTCCTCGTCCACCGCCTCGGCCTCTGCCAAGAAAATCATCATCAAGCACATGATGGTCATCGGCAGCGGGCTGATGGGCGCCGGCATCGCCCAGGTTGCAGCAGCAACTGGTCACACAGTAGTGTTGGTAGACCCATCAGAGGACATCCTGGCAAAATCCAAAAAAGGAATTGAGGAAAGCCTTAGGAAAGTGTCAAAGAAGAAGTTTGCAGAAAACCCATAGGCTTGTGATGAGTTTATGCAGAAGACCCTGAGCAGCATATCAACCAGCACGGACACAGCATCCGTGGTCCACAGCACAGACCTGGTGGTGGAGGCTGTCATGGAGAGTCTGAAGGTCAAGTACAAGCTCTTCAAAAGGCTGGACATTCAAGACCCGCCTGGACAGGTGAGACCTCATCTCTACAATAAATCAAAAAATTAGCCAGGCATGGTAGCACGCACCTGTAGTTCCAGCTACGTGGAAGGCTGAGGAGGAAGGATCGCTGGAGCGAGGCTACGGTGGCCGGGAGCGGCCACTGCACTCCAGTCTGGGCGACAGAGTGAGACTCCAACTCAAAAAAAAAAGTGCTGGACAAGTTTGCTGCTGAATACACAATCTTTGCCAGCAGCACTTCCTCTTTGCAGATCACAGACATAGCCACTGCCACCACCAGACAAGACCGGTTTGCTGGCCTTCATTTCTTCAACCCAGTGACCCGATGAAACTTGTGGAGGTCATTAAAACACCCATGACCAGCCAGAAGACATTTGAATCTCTGATAGAGTTTAGCAAAACCCTGGAAAGCATCCTGTTTCTTGCAAGGACACTCATGGGTTTATTGTGAACCGTCTCCTGATTCCATACCTAATGGATGCAATCAAGCTGTATGAATGAGGTGATGCATCCAAGGAAGACATTGACACTGCCATGAAGTTAGGAGCCGGATATCCCATGGGCCCATTTGAGCTTTTAGACTATGTTGGGCTGGATACTACAAAGTTCATCATAGATGGGTGGCATGAAATGGATGCAACAAACCCCATATTTCAGCCCAGCCCAACTTTGAATGAGCTGATAGCGGAGAAGAAGCTTGGTAAGAAGACTGGAGAAGGATTTTACAAGTACAAATGATGCGCAGATTCTCTGTCCCTGAGAAGAAACCCCTGAGCACATCCCAGCCAGCACCCCGAGTGTCCACAGGAATGCTCTTAGCCAGACATTCCCGCTCACAGTGCAGTCTGTTCATGTGCATTTGATTGTAATTGATCTGAAGTAATTGTCTACACTAGTTACAGTAGGTAACAGATTTCTCCATTAAGAACTAATTCCCTTTTTTAGTCTGTTCATTTCTGTGTGTTTTCTAAAAAGTCTTACACCCTTGGTGCCTTGGAACAAACATTTCTTCTGAACCTTGTCATTTTTGTAAAGAATTGCCTGAATTCATTCTCTCATAAAAGGGAAAGTGCGTCCTCCAAGAGTGAGGGAGAGTATGCTGAGTTCACTGTTACTGCATGGGACAGTCACGAGTCATTGGCATGGATGCGGTGTGTCTGCAAAGTGTTGCAGTGAGCAGCACCTGAATCCTGCCTTTATGAGCTGAGAGCCTTACCCTGCATTCCAAATGCCACACAGGGTGTTGTGTCTTTATCTAACACATCATCCAGATGCTGCTGCTGGCAGGCGGGTGCGTCCCTGTGTGCTTGGTTTGCAGGAAGAGGTCTGTTTTCAAGGTCCACAGATCTTAAGGGTTCCCTTCTCTCTCTCTCCCTTTTTATTTTTCATGAGAAAGAGTATTGCAGACTTCTTATACGTTGATTCAAATAAAAGACCATCTTTTAGTCTGTGAAAATTTTAATTGAAACATGTATAATTTTTTTTAAAAAACCTTTTGAGTAGAAGTAATTTATGTTCACGCCAAGAAAACATGTTTAGTATTTCCATTGGCAGTTTGTAAGTTTTGTAAAGAAAAAATTAGCTGTTCTAGAATTAGCCTTCAAGGTCGTCCCCAGGATTTAGTGCCACTATTCAGTTCTCTGTTCCCTCTTCAAAATCCTTGATAAGAGTGTCTCAAAAGAAAACCTGCAGCAGAGAAAAGGGTTCTGTTTATTTTCTTCTCCCTGGAATCCCCCACCTTATCTGTGTGATTAGAATTCCTTGGCATCCTTTAGCTGGAAGTGATTGCTGAAATTCTGGCGTAGGTAGGTCTGTGAGTTTTGTTTTGTTTCTAATCAACATGACCTTACTTGAGTTGACTTGGTAACTATGATATTACCATTAGGAAGAAATTCTTTTACTTCTTCATTTCTTCCCCAGTTTTCCTAAGGTTTTACCAAATCTACTTATTGACAATATGACTTGAATTTATAGGAGTGTGCTGAAAAACAAGGCCAAATTGAAAGAGCCATTAGGGAAAAAAAAGCGGTGGAAGAAGAACTGGAAAAGGTAAGAAGGAAAAGGAAGTATCACTGCCTAAACCCCACTGAGAACATCCTGTAGTACTGTCCACGTCCATCACACTGTAGCCTGGCAGTCCCCCTTTGGGTTATATTCTCCGGGTGAATGTGTTTGTTTCCTTGGAATGTATTTGGAGTCTGCATTTAAGTAGATATTGTCTGGTTGCTTTTCTTCCGGAGTTAACCATATTGTTTGAACTTTGCACTAAAAGGTATATATTTTATGAAGTAGCTATGTTCCTTGAGTAAACCTCATCCCAACATTAAATTCCACTTTGTCTTTCTTTTTTGAATTTTATGTCAGCCCTTATGGGTTTAGGCCATCTACAAATATAAGTACATATGACCAGGAAATTATTGCCTTACTATGGTTTTCACTGTCTAAAAGTACGTATTTTCATTTTATAGTTTGGAAAAATATTTACTCCCATGATATTTGAGAAACACTATTGAGAGAAGTCCATTCTTTCTTACGTATCAGTTTTATTAACAGTAGCATCCTACTCTTTTAAAATGCCTTAAGAAAAGAAGGGAAGACTAAACTCAATTGAGCACTCACTGTGTTTTAGATGCCGTGTTAGAAACTTTCATGGAGAGGTTAACTAACGTACCCAATGTTAAAAGTAGTAAATGGAGCTGGGCTTGGTGACTCAGCCTGTAATCCCGCGCCTTTGGGAGGCTGAGGTGAGTGGATTGCCTGAGCCCGTGGGTTCAAGACCC